GCGAACCCCGAAACAGACCCACACAAATATGTCTAAGGTGCAAAAGTAATTCAATGAAGGAAGGTTAGCCTTTTTAACAAGTGATACTGGAGCAACTGGCTATCCTTAGAAATAAAAAAAATAAAAATAAAAAACCCTCAACCTAAACATCAGACCTTATAAAAAATTAAAATAGATCATAGAACCAAATATAAAACATAAGTCTATGAAGCTTTTAGGAGAAATCTGCAGCACTTAGGGTTTGGTGAAGAGATCTTAGAGTTGACACCAAAAGCACAATGCAGAAAAGGGAAAAAATGATAAATTGGACCTCATCAAAATTGAAAACTTTTGCTCTGAACAGATCCTGTTAAAAGCATGAAAAGACAACTTACAGACTATGAGAAAATATTTGTAAACCACATATCTGTCAAAGGGCTTATATCTATAATAGTTAAAGAACGCTCAAAACACAACAATAAAAAAAGAAAAGCCAAATCCAATTAGAAAATGGGCAAAGGGCATAAATAGACATTTCCCCAAATATAAAAATGCAGAAGCAAAATTATCCAGATGGAGAACAGATTGGTGGTTACCAGGAGTTAGGAATGAGGAGAGGGAATGGGCGGCCATAAAGCGATAATAGGAAGAACCCTCTTGGTAATGGAGCAGTTCTATGTCTTGATTGTGGTGGTAGCTACACATATTTACAAATGTGATAAAATTGCATAAAACTATTGACACACATGCACTCAAAATTGGTAAAATTGGAATAATCTCTGTGGATTGTACTAATGCCATTTTCATAGTCATGATATTGTACTATGGTTATGCAAGATCTTTTACTATTGGGAGAAATTAGGTGAAGGATACAAGGCCCCATCTGTGTTATTTTTATAAATTCCTGTGAATCTACAATCATTTCAAATTTAAAAGTTTTAAAAAGTGCATGAGTGTGAAATTGTTTTGTGTTCCTAGTTTTATTTTATACCTAACCAAATAAATTATTCACCAGTATCTGTGACTTGCTCACTGTACATCGACTACATTATATAAACTTTCTATTGGCAATTTTGTGCTCCATTTTAAGAATCCATGGGACTCTGAATGTTTCTTTAAAACCTTCAAAAAACTAATCACAGTCCTAGCCAGTATGGCTCAATTGGTTGGAACTTCATGCACCAAAAGGTGGCAGATTTGATTTCCAGTCAGGGAGTCAGGGCACATACCCAGATTACAGGTTCAATTCCTGATCAAAGCAAATGATCAGGTCTCTCTCTCTCTCTCTCTCTCTCTCTCATTAATCATGATCAGCCCTATTTGCAGGCACCAAAAAAAGTTTCTCAACAGAGAAACCAGAATTCAACCCAAGTCATTATGCTCAATTAATATTTGACAAATGAGGCAAAAGCATACAATGGAGTCAAGATAGTCTCTTCAATAAACGGTGCTGGGAAAATTGGACAGATACATGCAAAAAAAAAGAAACTAGACCACCACCAACTTACACCATACACAAAAATAAACTCCAAATGGATAAAGGACTTAAACAAAGATGGGAAAACCACAAAAATCTTAGAAGAATCCATAGGCAGCAAAATATCAGACATACGTCATAGCAATATCTTTACCGATAGAGCTCCTAGGAAAATGGAAACTAAGGAGAAAATAAACAAATGGACTACATCAAAAAAAAAACAAAAAACCTTCTGCACAGCAAAAGAAACCACCAACAAAACAACAAGAGAGCCCACTGCATGAGAGAACATATTTGCCAACGTCATATCCGATAAGTGTATAATCTCCAAAATTGATAGGGCACTCATACAACTTCACAAAAGATAAACAATCCAAACAAAAAATGGGCAAAGGACCTTAAAAGACACTTTTCAAAAGAAGACATACAGAAGGCCAAGAGACATATGAAAACATGCTCAGTCACTAATCATCCCAGAGATGCAAATCAAAACAATGAGGTACCATCTCACACCTGTCAGAATGGCTATCATCAACAAATCAACAAACATCAAGTGCTGGCGAGGATGCAGAGAAAAAGGAACCCTCATGCACTGCTGGTGGGAATGCAGACTGGTACAGCCACTGTGGAGAACAGTATGGAGTTTCCTCAAAAAGTTAAAAATGGAACTCCCATTTGACCCAGTAATCCCACTTCTAGGAATATATCCCAAGGAATCAGAAAACACCCATCAGAAAGGATATATGCACCCCTATGTTCATAGCAGCACAATTTACCATAGCTAAGATTTGCAAACAGCCTAAGTGCCCATCAGCAGATGAGTGGATTAAAAAACTGTGGTACATCTACACAATGGAATACTACACTGCTATAAAAAAGAAGGAATGCTTACCATTTGCAACAGCATGGATGGACCTGGAGAGCATTATGCTAAGTGAAATAAGCCAGTCAGTTAAAGATAAAAACCACATGATCTCACTCATTGTGGAATATAATGAACAACATAAACTGACGAACAAAAATAGATCCAGAGACATAGAAGCATTGAACAGACTGTCCAACCTCAGAGGGAAGGCAGGAGAGGGGAGAGGGGTAAGAGATCAACCAAAGGACTTGTATGCATGCGTATAAGCATAACCCATGGACACAGACACTAGAGGGATAAAACGGCTTGGGGAGAGGTCAATGAGGGAAAAAGGAGACATATGTAATACTTAAACAATAAAGAATTTTTTTAAAATACACCAAAAAAAAAGAAGTTTCTCACCATAAATCTCTGTTCTGCAAGTCTAATCCATGCCTAAACTTACCTAGCAAATACCATAATATACTGAAGAGCTTAAAAATGAACCGGTCCTCCCTTGCTGGACTAAGAATGGCCCTCATCAGGGTATTTTGCAGTCACAAGATGGCAATTGAGTCCCTCTCTCACTACTTAAAATAAGTCTACAAAATCCTTGTGTTGCCTCTTGAAGGAGCTGACCCCAGTTTTCATGATTCCAAAGTGAAACTCTTTCAGAGTCACAGAGCCTAGAAAGAAATTCACAGGTGCCCCTCATGGTCATGATCGACAGGGTGACCTTTACCAAGTGCGAACCAGAATCATTTGTAGAGTGTCTGCTGTGCTGTTAATGCCTCATTCACCCTACAGCTCCACCCCGACCCCCCAAGAGAAAAGAGACATGGGAGCTTGGCAGAGCAGAATCAGGTCACCTCTACATCCTGGCTGTCACTGCACTGCCTACCAAGAGCCCAGTGTCCCCTGGCTAACATGCCCACATGGACCTGCTCCTCTATGGTGATGTCGCTGAGGCAGCTCCCCTTGTGGGTTTAGGTGGCCCCCGTGAGGGTCAACGGGATGCTTTTTATCTTTTAACCATGATTTCCCACTCAGGCAGGGAGGGACGCAGGGGATTTCATTTGACTGCCTTGGTGTTTGGCAGTCACTAAGGAGTTAAAACTGGTCTGTGCTAGACAACTGAGACAAGCAGGTGCAGAAAGAGAAGGGCAGCCTGGAAGACAGAGAGTCCAGTCCAGATCTCTTCCTTGCATACAATGCAACTGCAGTAAAGACGACTAATGCAGTGCTAGTGGGGAGGGGCATAGTGTTTCCATTAGTAAAACTTTGATGCAAAGGGACCAAGTGCCCAAGGCAGAGGGATGGTGATAAAAGGAGCCACCTAAGTTTAAATTATGAGTAAGCTCCTGGATGCAGTTATAAAACTAATTTCAAATGGTGATAAAATTGTGTCGTTGTAGGTGAGGTTTCTGAAAGTGTGAATTGATATGCAAATAGATATCTTAATATATCTATCTGATTCCCCAATTAAAGTGTTTGTTCCTTTAACAGTAGGGCCCCTAGAGTGTCTAGTCTAGTTTTCTGCATGTACTAACATTCCATAAATTAGAGAAGGAAACTAATATTTGCTCAGTATCTAGTCTGTGTTCTTTGGCATATGGAAATTCATTCAGGTTAATCCTCACCACAAACACATTAGCACATCCTATTTTCTGCATTTTGCAGAAGTGGAAAGGTGCTCAGAGAGTTTTAGTGACACGCTCAAAGACGTAAAAAGTAGTGAGAGAAGAGACATTCAGATGCAGGCTAAGTGCCCCACCCTAAGACCAGGACAAGGAGAAAATTCTGAGATGTCCTAAATTAAATTACAGCCAGCCAGAGAGAGGGAAGACAAGGGGAGGAGTTCATCGGTTAACAACTGCAGGGCAAAAGCAACCAAAAACTACTTACATTCCTGAGTGTATGTTGGGACTTTGAGTTAACTTCCAGGTGGCATCAAAAAGAGAAGAGCCAGGTGCCACCACATCCCAGGAGCCTCCACTTCTTACTTACACATGAACTATCCACAACCCAAAGGAGCAAACCGTCTTCCTCACAGACCCTGCACCTATCCCAGAACCGCCCTCCCCCACTTCACCCTCTCCCACCCACCTTATCTGTAGCCAATGCAAATTCTTTCAAAACCACCTACATCTATCCTCCTCCTCCTTGAAGAATGAAAAGGCCCTTCAGATGCAGGCCTCCAGGCATGTTTGTCTTTTCCACTAGCCCTGCTGGTAGTTTAGACTTCATGCCCCAAGACCATGTTTTTTTCTTGCTAGCAATGGCCCTTTCTATTCAAAAGGCTTTCAGCCATGCAGGTTTAAAAAAATTTGTTTTACAACCATGTTCTTCCAACAGGACCAACCAATCTCCTAAATATTCATTTCATTTCATTTCAAATGTATGCAAAATGTGGATGTGGGTGTGGGGGTGTGTGTGTGACAAAAAGTTTATTGAATGTTTTCTGAATCGAGCAGTATTAAGTTCTGCTCTACTAGTATATTGCTGTAATGTTAATTGAAAATGGGTAGTCCAGGTACTGCAACTCTTTATGGAGAAGGTAATTTGTCTATCATGCTTCCAACATAAAAAGTGATAATATTAGTAGATGGGAGAGAGGAGGAGAGAAAGGGAGAAACTGGAAGGAGGAAAGAAAGGTTGATTTTATGCTGGCTTCAGAAAGGAAACTTACCCAGGTTTCAGAATACCGTGAGGTCATTGCAAAGTCTGAATGACAGCAGTTTCCAATTACAAAAATATCTTGGTGAGATCACACATCTTGGAGGTAGCAGTAGGAACTCTGTGTTGGAAGACAAGACAGATTCTTTGTAACAGCAATAGAAGTTACAAGCTCTATTTGACCCATGCAAATTTTTTTACTTCCACCCACCAAGCAATTCCAGAGGCATTTTTTAAAATAAAAGGTTAATATAAAATATACGGTGTCCCCCCAAAAATTGTATACACACTTTAACAGCTGATAACTCACTTAATTTTGAAAAGGAACCATATGTTATGTATGTTAATAAACACTGACTTTATAATCATTCAAAATGTGTATATATTTTTGGGACACCCTGTATATATGGGCAAGAAGTTTCTTTAGTGCTTTCTGAATCAAGAACTATTAAGTTATGCTCTATAATGTTGGTGGTTTAGACTTCATGCCCCAAGACCAAGTTTTTCTCTTGCTAGCAATGCCGACAGAGAGAGAGGGAGAGAAAATATATATATATACATAAATATCTGATACAGTTTCTCAAATAGAGCACTGCATTAAAGCCAAAGTCCAATGTAGAATACAGAGTGAATTGAATCAGCTGCTGAAAAGATTGAACTTTACTGGAACCCTACACTCTTGGAAAACAGGGAGATCAAGAAATTCCACAGCTACTACCATCATCACCCTTTTGCATATCAGAAAACAGCTTAATGCTATTAAATTAATTAAAGAGGCCATTAGTCTGGGTGGCTCTATTGCCTTGGGAGCCTACATAAGCAAACTAAAATCAAAACCTATAAATGCTTAAGGATTACAATATTGAAACCTAAGGACAATCAATGATAAACAGCCAACTAAGCTTTAAGCTATAGCCAATTAATAATTTACTTTGTTGTGTGCCTTTCTCTATAAAAGTCTCCCCAAGCTTGTTTTGGTAGAGCGCTCCTAAACTCTTCTGGTTTGGCACTTCCAAGTTCAAATTAACTTTTGTTCAAATAAATGCTTAACATTTTTAATATGCCTCAGTTTATTTTTTAATACTGTAAAGAAGCATTCTTCCATATATTAATACCATTATACTTAGCTAATTATTAATAATAGGAAAGGATCAAAGGGAAGGTCAGACATCATAGACATGTCATTTGGGCAGCTTCACCAGGAAGCTGCAACTTCACCTTCCCCAGGGAAACACCAGCCTATCACTGCGGGGAGGGGTCCAACTAAGGGGAGACAGATATATGTCCAGTGAAGTTGGGGTGACTAGGAAAGGTGTTTGTCAGTCACACTTGGGAACAGAGATCATTGGCCAGAATGGGTGTGGCCACTGCAAGCCCAAAAAATTTGGGAATGCATAATCCCCTAAACAAAGGAATGCTCTCTTCACTCTTGGGGATCTTGTTGTACTTATGACTATTGTGACTCTTGGCTCTCTTTGTATTCACCCGTATGGCCCACGGCCACGTGGACCCCACACACAATGGACTAACGACTGCAGTGGGAAACATAAGCTAAGCTAGCCTGAGGCTGGACTGGACTCGCTTCAATATGGAAAGGAAACTCTGGACACTGGCTCTGATTTTAGCTCTACAGAAGCCCCAGCTATACTTCTACGGCGGGACAGAAGGAGAGGGGACCTTAGAAACTCAGACATGTAATTCCATGGAAATAAAGCTCTCTACACTATCTCATCCTCCCGTGGGGGCCTCTGAAAATTCTTCTTGTAACAGTACCCCAAGAACTCAACTTCCACCGGGAACAATGGGACTTATGAAAGACCCCACAGATGACCCCATGTTTATCCATGACAAGTCCAGACACAGGCCCCCCAAATTCTCATTCTTTGTCTTATAAATAATTACTTGATCTGTTTGCCCCCACTGAATGATCTGAGAAATGCCCACTAACTTGGCCAGGCAAATTTTCCTCAGGCTCCTCTTCCCCAGGCCCCTGAACTTTGGCCTGCCCTTGAGTTTAAGCAAGCATTGGGAGCTTAAGGAACCGCTGGGAAGTGGGGAGTGGGGGGAGGCCTTAACAGCTTCTCCTGAGAATCAGCTAACCACCAAAAGGACATTTCCTGCTCATCTGTTCAATCCACCACCTGCTCGCCCCACTCCCCACAACCAGTTCCTTCTAGGCTTATTTACTCTTCCCTATAAAAGAAAGACCCTTTCTGCTTGGTCTTTGAGACGCTTATGCATATTATGGTCAGTGTTTTCCTATCGCAATAGTTCCTTTCCTTCTATTGTAATAATCCCCTCCTCTAATTATAATAGTCTTTTCAAATAAAGTCTCTCCTTACCTGAGTCTGGATTTGGTTTTTTTATTTGACACTGCCTAAGGTTATAGTTTCTAATATACTTAGAAGTATATTTCTCCTCTGTAACATTTGCTTTTATTTATGATTTCTCTTTTATGGGTTTTAAGTATTCATCCCAGATTCAGAAGCCACATGGGCAGAGGGATCAAACCCTCTGAGGGTATTAACCAGCTATCCACATACATCTCAGGTTAAAATGGAAATGAATAGGTAGGAGGGCTGCTTCCATATGCAAACACCTCCAGGTAATCAATTCGATTCTAATATCTTGCTGGCTGCAAAATCATGGCTTCTGGGGCCATTTAATTCACTTCCAGCTAATGCCTGGGGTGCCAGTGCATAACAAAGGAAACAGAAAAAGTCTATAAAACTAAAATATTTCATTAGATCACAGCAAGTTAAAAGCCGGGCCAACTCCAAGCTTCACGGAGCATCTTTGGCATCTTACCCCTGAGCTGGCCCATATAAAAGGTTTGCAAGTATTTACAAACTATCAACTTTGCACTCTTGAAAACATCTGTTATCATCTGAGGTATTTTCCAAAACAAAAGTGAGGACTTGTAGATTGGCAACGGATTTTTTTTCGACTTGTGAATTTAGTAATAGGTGGAGTCATAATGTAGTTTTAAAAATTGTTGCCCTAGCTGGTTTGTCTCAGTGGATAGAGCATTGACCTGCAGACTGGAGGGTCCTGGGTTCAATTTCAGTCAAGGGCACATACCCAGGTTGCAGGCTCCATCCCCAGTAGGGGGCGTGCAGGAAGCAGCTAATTAATGATTCTCTCTCCTCATTGATGTTTCTCTCTCACTCTCCCTTCCTCTCTGAAATCAATAAAAATATATTTTTAAAAAATAAAAATTGTAAATCACATTTAATTACACATATTTCATGAGTTGATCACTGAAACCATAGTTAACTTTAAACATCCAGGGCACATTGTATCCATAATCATAGGCAGATTTCTTGTTCAGAAGTTTCCAGGGTACACTGTCATGGTTACCAGGATCAGCAGAGTGTTGAGAATTGTTTAACAACCAGCTCTGCGGGAGAGGGTAGGCCCTGATGTGTAGCACTTGCCAATTTTCATGGTGTAAACACTCCCACGATGACTAATTTCAAGCTATCAATGTGACTGCACTTGGAGTTCAGGAAGAGATGCTCACTAACCCACCACACAGATATAAAAGATGTAAATAACCTCAAGAGAACATAATAGTCAAATGGAGTCAAATAATTAGGAAGTGATGAGTTTTGAGTGAATGTCATTTTAGTTTAATTTAACTTATTTAACTAACTTTTTATAATTTAAATTTTAATAATGACTGTGTGAAACAATTGGCTTGCAAAATTCCTGAAAGTTTAACAGTCAGCTTTTGTATGTTGGCATAGCTGGTACCAGTGGACACCAGTGAGTCCAAGATTCATCCCTCACTATGGCCATAACCCCTAGAGGACTAGACAACATCTACACTAATAAAAGAGAAACATGCAAATTGGTGTCACTCCGCTATGCCCACCAGCCAATCAGAGTGACTATGCAAATTAACCCAACAAAGATGGCGGTTAATTTGCATACGCAGGCACGGAGTGAAGACTGAAGACTGAAGACTGAAGAGGCTTGGCTTCTTGGCTGCGGCCAGACCAAAGGCCTGAGTCCCAGGTGGCGGAGGAAAACTGGTGCCGGCAGCCAGGGGAAGGAAGGCCTATTGCACAAATCTCTTCATGCAACGGGCCTCTAGTTATTTAATAATACAGAAAGTATTTGGCTCACAGAAACATAAGGGGTGTTACTAACCAAAGGCATATCTTACCTATGGTGGGTTGATATGGTGGCCCCTGAAAAAGATATGTTTAACTGGAACCAATGAATGTGGTCTTATTTGGAAAAAGGGTCTTTGCCAACAGTATTAAGGATTTTGAGATTTTAAAAAAAACAACAACATTCTGCCCAGCCAGCAGGGCTCAGTTGGTTGAGCATCATCTTATGTACTGGTTTGATTCCTTCCCAGTCAGGTCACTGGTTCAATTCCCAGTGAGGGCACATGCCTGGGTTGCCAGTTTGATTCCCAGTGGGGGGTGTGCAAGAGGCAGCCGGAGGATGTTTCTCTCTCATCAGTGTTTCTATCTCTCTCTCCCTCTCCCCTCCTGTCTCTGCAATCAATAAAAACATATTTAAAATAAATAAAACATCCTGAATTATCTGGGTGTGCCCTAAATCCAATGACCAGTGTCCTTATGAGGGAGGACACAGACAAAAGGAGACACAGAGACACAGTGAAGACACAGAAACGCAGGGAAGAGGCCATGTAAAGATGAAGGCAGCAATTGGAATGATCCATCTAAAAGCCAAGGAATGGCAAGCATTGCCAGCAGCCACCAGGAGGCAGGAGAGAGGCACAGCACGGTTCTTTCTGGGAGCCGCAGAAGGAAACACCTTACTGACATCTTGACTTTGGACATGTGGCCTCCAGAACTGTGAGAGAATAAGTCTGTTGTTTGAAGCCACCATATTTGTGGTAATTTATTATGACAGCCTTGGGAAAGTAAGGCACTACCCCATGACAATCGGTCAAAAAAAGAGGCTTTCAAGATTTTAAAAGCTATAAAATAACTTGGAAAATTACATAACACTGTAACCACATACAATCATAGTGGTGAGGAGGCAGGAGAAATTTAAAGGGAAGGGCAGTTTACTGCTGCCCTAAAATGTCATCTCATATCTTGATAATCCTTATAGGTCAGACATGGCCAGACTCCCTGG